CAAGTTCCACAGCCGATTTCAACCAGGACGCATAAATGCAGACATTCTTGCTCTCTGTGGACTGAAATTTTTCTTAATTTGTTTGTTAAGATGGACCAAAAGTGCCATAGTTTTTGTGTACTAGTATCTCGTTTAATTGCATCTTGTTCACAGGTACACTCACTGAATAAAACACCTCACCAGCTTGTCATAACTGGTATATTACATCTTTATTTGTATTTCTATCACCACATATGTTAACACTGATCTTCCCAATTTATATGATGTTTTGATGTGACTTAGATCAGGATGAATAGTTGAATTCAGGGTTGAGTGTAGCCATGATGTGCATACATATTCCCCCCACGGTGGTTTACATCACATCAACAATGCATATAGTAGTGTTGAATCAAATCTTATCAGCATGGATGCACACCTACAATGCATTCAGTTTCTGATTACAACGGATGTCAGAGTTATTCATTGTCCAGTCTTCGAGTGGCTCAATCTCATGCCACTCATTTTGTTATCAATATCCTTTCAGATTCAAGGTCATTCAGGTCACTATCATGGAATTTGATTTATAATTTACAAAAAATTGTAATTCATTACAGTAAAGAATGTTGTTGAATGATTGATTGAGTTTAGGTTATACTTGTGACCTACAAGCAATATAATGTATATATACATGTATATAATATTTATATTTTAATGTCTTTCACAATGCAGTTTATTGTCCTGCAAACATACATGGTGTATACTCAAATATTCATGAATGTTGTCTGTGAAAAATCACAAAAGCATAGTACTGTATTTGTTCTATTAGTGGTGCATGCACTTATGTAAATAATAGAGGTGTTTCTATGATCAAAAGAATATTATAATAATTCAGTATGCAATAAATGCAATTTTTGGCCTATATGCATTTTTAGCTCCGCTGCCGACTTTGTCGAGCGGACCTTATCATATGAGTGATTGTCCGTCGTCGTCTGTGTCAATGTTTTACTTTTTCAACTTCTTCTTGAAAACTACAAGCCTGAATGCTTTGATACTTCCTGTATATGTACCTTGGGTAGACCTCTCTCAGATTTGTTCATTTCATGATGATATCTTCAATTCTCTAATTTTGTTGAATATTTTTGTAATTTTTGGTAAAAAGTGATATTTTCGACTTCTTGTTGAAAACCGCAAGTCCAATTGCTTTAATATATTATACATATAGGTACTACATATGGACCTCTCTCAGATTTGTTCATTTTCTAATGATATCTTCTGTTCTTTAATTGCCATGTGCATTGCTAACAGCGGAGCTATCTCAGCCGACAGGCTGCTTGTTTATTTATAGAATGATGTGCGTCAAATAGAGCAAATACAGTAATTTTCATTTCATTTGGTGGGGTGTACTACAATGATTTGGGTGTAAAATTTTTGTACATTTTTATGTGGTTACTAAAATTTCTTTTTTAGGAATCTTAGAAAAATAAATATGAAAAAAATTATGCCGGTTTATTTTGTGAAGGGTTGAAAAGGTTAATTTTTAAAGGTATAAAATAGGAAGACATATTTCATTTTTACAATGATGTCAAGTGATCAAATGGTGAAAATATTTACTAACAGAAACAGTTTATAAAGTATTTTAGTATCTTGTCAAAACACTACTGTAAACACATTAATTATTTGTTGATTATTAATTTAAATATTTTCGCTGGTGAGTAAAAGTTACCAAATTAATTTCATATGTACTTGTAAAATAACAATGGAACTCATAGTTTTTTTGCTAAGTTTGGGACCTTGAAATCCCAGTGAATTTGCTCAAAATAGTGAAATTAAAATGCCATTGAAAATAATAGGTTTAACACATATTTTTTGTGATAACACAACAGCAAATGTACTAGGTATAAGAATAGTCCACCCTCATTTCTGAATTTTGTGGCTAAGTTGTTGGAACACTTTATATACAATGAGATATATAATTTTTTTTTCAGTTGTTGGTGATATACAGAATCATTTACAGGCAATGTTTATGTTGCTACGTCCACAAGATACTATTAAACTGGTGAGTAGTGTTGTCAACTATAATATATTAAAGGGACTATCTTCAAATATTAAAAAGTGAAATCAACAAATGGTGTTAACTCAGGTGGATAGAACTGGAAATATTATTAGCGAACATTATATGTTAGATTTTAAGCCAAATTTCATTTTTGCACTAGTTAATGAGCCTATGTGCAATGCATTGTGGGAGTGATAATTCCGTTGAGTACATTAGAAAATATTATCATGCTGAACTAAATTAATCGTCAAGGTTTTGGAAAATTTGGTCGAATATTAGGATCATGCCAACGACAATTTATCACTTTTTGGAACCATGTTATTGAACAAATATTGAAACAAATATTTTAAGATAAAAAGTAAAGTAATGGCATAAATCCATGGCAATAAGGAATGTATTACTGTAGAATACTTTATTTTCACTTGTAATTTATTTTCGCTATTTTCGCTGAAGGGATGATTCCGTGAAAATAAAATCCAGCAAATATACTTTTTTTCCTATATTTCACATTAAACTCATCAAAAATCAGTGAAAATAAATTCCAAGCAAAACAACCAAAAAGCCCTTTCAGCGAAAATTAATTCCAGCGAAAATAAAGTATTCCACAGTATTAAAAATGATATAATGGGCAATCACTATTGGTGTGAACCTCATTTAACATATTTCAGATTAGACTATCTGCATGTTAAGAATTCAATTTTAGATTGAGTAGTTACAGTCTTGTATCTGGAGCTGACAGTATCCAGATATGGTTTTAAGTTCACCTTGAACTGGCACTGACCTTAAAGCATCCAGGGTTGGAATGCTGACTTGTAACTTGAGACTTCAATTGAGACTGGTGATACATTGAATTATAACACCCATTCCTATAATGCCTTGCTGTTTTAGACATTCTATATGTGTGGTTGGATTTATTTGAATCTCATTGACATGTGGTAATTAACTTTGTTATGAGTCTGTGTTTTATTGTGGTGTGTTGGCTTTAAGTGTTATATAATGGAGATGATTTCTAAATCTGCATCCCCTCAAGCAATGTATTGCATAGGTGTTCTATAGTCAGTGGCAAGAGCACATGCCATGTGACTGAAAGTAAACAAGACTTTTTAAAGTGGTATTGTTCAGCAAAATAAATTGAAGAATTTTTGAGTATCAGTAACTGAATCAAATCTAAAGTTTAGCGAGTTATACTGATCAAAATCTGAAATATTTCACTGTTATTATTTGTCTTCACTACAGTAAATTCTGTCATGCATTGCTGTTTCTGTTGGTGCATGCTAAAAGCAACTATTGAACCTAGGAAGTATGTAATGCTAAATGATCTGATAAATGATAAATTCAAAAGGGAGGAATCAAATGGTTATATAGGAAACAACTTAAGAAACTGGTGTACATTAGCTTCACATTGAATATAGATTATGTTATATGACTTGTCATAAAACTTGATGATAGCCCCAAATCCTGGAAACACGGTCAGAAATAATTGATAATTTTTAGCCAGACATGTGATACAGATATCTTGCAAATACTACACCTGTTGAATTTATTATGCTATGTTTATTACTTGACATGCCAAAAACTCTGAACCAAATGTTACCAACAATACTATTTTATTTAATATGTCTCAAATAGTTACAAATTTGTGATAATAATATTGTTGATTGGTTCAATTTGGAGTGCATTTGATACAGGTATCATGTTAATTTATTTCCCAATTGACCCCAAATTGATTTTTGTTTCTACTTTATACCTTATCAGCACTATTTTGATAACGTGCATATTACAACATGTGTGCGACAAGACATGATAAAACCTCACGTCACGTCCTGTTATATGGGACTCATAGCAAAGCTTGAAATACATTGTTTGTTTACACAATATTGAAACAAACATTACGTTATGACCACATCTCTTTAATGTTTAGACATCCAACCAAATGTTGGGCCTATACACCCAGGGAATGTCATCGCGGTAAAATAAATATACTCGTATAAGCTTGATAAGCCGAGAATATTACCAGTCATAACAATGTATTAAAGTTGTAGTACAATTAAACTCTCCATAGATGACAATGTATTTTACTTATAGAGTGGCTTTTTTAGTTTTAAATCAAAGTAACTTGAACTGTATTCTTACAATTCATTCTTACAAAACAAGAGTGACTCAACCACACTGATGTTGGTAATATTGACGCAGTGGAGTACATGTGTTATATTTGTTGTACTTATTCTGCCATTTTTACCAAAAGTCCATCGGCTTTTCTGGTATCATAATAAGTAAACAGTTTGGAATACAAGTATGACGTTCTTTGTAAAAATGTTTGTTTTAAAAATAATGAAAATTAAGTTCCTGGGTGTCAATGTTTTCAATGTGAAACCTAATTCAGTGCAAGTAATTATTGACAAGGCAGTCATAGTGGCATTACTAAACAGTGTGACTTGTCAATATGTTGTTCTGGTACCTTGAATACTTAGTATGAATAAATTCAATGTACACTTATACTGTTGTGAAGTTAAAACATGTATTGTGTCATGCCTGACATGTTGTTGCTGAGGGAAGACAAGTGGTATACTTAATTGTAATACAGTGTTGTCAACATTATGTCATCAAGTCATAACACTGAATGTTGGGTGGGGGAGTACAAATTCCTATCTTTCATCCAGTCGTAATAGCCCTGACGAAATAATGAACAGATTTATGACCAGGTATTACAAAGGTCACATTATAAATATTAAGATGATATCATACTGGAGACTTAAGGTTCATAGCAAAGTGTATGAGGTGGGTGACTTGGGGGGGGGGCATGGTTACTGTATTTGCTTTCATGGATGTATGATCAAAATAAGTTGTGTTTTAATGGTCCATTATACACTAAATGTCATTTTTAGTTCAAGTGTGTTTCTATTAAATATGTGCTTTGAGAGAAGGTGTACCTGGTCTGCAACTTGAATTATAAAAAATGTGGAAACAATATTTAAAAATTTAGTGCTTCCAGAAAAACATCTTTTAATAAGAAATGAATAAAAATAATATACTGTAGAATACTTTATTTTAGCTGGAATTCATTTTCGCTGAAAAGACTTTTTGAGTGTTTTGTATGGAATTTATTTTCACTGATTTTTGATAAGTTGAATGTAAAATATAAAAAAAAAAAACAGTATATTCGCTGGATTTTATTTTCACTGAATCATTCCATCAGCAAAAATAGCAAAAATTAATTCCAAGTGAAAATACCGGTAATGTATTTTACAGTATTACGAGTTTTCATTTTTCAAATGCATGGGATTATTTTAAGATACTGTTAGTGAAAGTTTATTAACATTCAACTGAACAGAAGTACCTAGAAGTTAAATTGAAACACTGGGGTATAATATTGGGTATCTGAGTGAATCTCAGAAATGCAAAGGGTAGTGGTCATCACACATCTTGTTGGATATTAGAGACCCATAACGACAACGTATAAAATATATTGTTTGTTTACACGAAATTCAACCACGCATGACGACCACTGCCCCTTACTTTCCTGTGATTTGTTAGTATCAAAAACCTGATAGACTGCCTAAATATGTAGAGACTGATTATAATTAGTGCAGATACAAACCCTGAATAACAACTAAATATAGGAACTTTTGAGCTAACATAATGTGTGGTACACGTATAAAAGTAATGAGTTCAAACGTGACAGTATACGATATATAGATGTAGACATACCATGAAATATACATGTATGGTCTATTGTTAATGAAAACATAATGCAAAGGTCTATCAGTCAGACAATAAAGTGAATAAAAGGAGCAGTAACAATCGGATGTCCTGCATGACAGAAGGTCATCTACAGGTCAATAACATGTGAAGGGATGACAATTGGAGACAACAAGAGCAGCTGATATTGTAAATGGTATGTCAAGGCTTTGACACACTGAAAGCCACACAAATGTCACTCTGTATATTACCAGCAGTATAAAACTATATGGTTTGATGATGTGTTTACAACTCTTTAATATTCATTGTAGGCTGTGAAGTTAGAAAGTATGCATCAACACCGCATACGATACATGGTTGTGGTATCCTGTATGGGACGACAAGACACTCAGGAAAGTCTGATTCTTGGCATTGATTATAAAGACTCTGCTACCATTGGATTAGTCCTACCATTATGGAGGGATACGGAGATTATGTTAGATGGAGATGGGTGAGTAGATCATAAATACTGCCACCACAGTTCAAACTTGGAATAATTTGTAGTGTTAGAACACTACCACAAATGTATGTACTTCCTATTAACTTTGTTACCCTTTGAGAATTAAAAACTGATCTTTCTTAAAGTTGTACTGTGAGGTCATTCATATTTATTATTAATGTCTTAAGACTATTATGTGACATATTTGATGTTGTAAATATGTGCAAATATTTATTTATTGATTCGTTCAAATTCACTGTACTGTGCCTGGCATGGAATAGAATTGAATCATTGTGAATTCACACATGCATGTCAGAGTTAAAAACAAAACTGTTAGCAAATGAAATTCAAACAAACGATTGACAAAATTCGTACATTATGAAAGTCATTGAAAATTTAGTAATATTTCACCCATGACTCGCCTGGTTATCAGAACATCAATTAATTCACATACTGTGGAATACTTTATTTTCGCTTGGAATTAATTTTCGCTGAAGGAATGATTCAGTGAAAATAAAATCTAGTGAATATACCTTTTTTTCTATACTTTACATTCAACTCATCAAAAATCAGTGAAAATAAATTCCATACAAAAGACCCAAAACATCTATTCAGCGAAAATTAATTCCAGCTAAAATAATGTGTTTTACAGTAATTGTAATTGTAAAGACACCCCCTTCAGAAAAGCTATATGAGTTGCAAGTTTCACACGCACACTTACCTGTATCATTGCTATTGTTTATAGTAACATTATGTTTTGATGTTTGCAAACAAATTTGTCACTGTTGCTGTGTTTTTTCGTGTCAAACATATGAAGCGTGAGAAAGTTTATCTATCATATTAGGTCATTGTTATAAAGTTATCACTATTTCTTTTCCAGTGGTTTTTCCGTGACAAGAAATGACACTACTAATATATTTAAACCAGTTTCAGTACAAGCTATGTGGTAAGCTAGACTTTAATTGAATTATCACTGTGTTCTTATTGTACTTGGGACTAAAAAATGTTGACATCGTGCAACACGTATTTATTTGAATAAAAATATGTATACATTTTGAAAAAAATTGTTCAATTTTACTGAAAAAATGTCTTGAAAACAAGGCTTAGAGGGAATACTGTGGAGTTGTGGTGTACAATTGAATTGATTGAAATACCGGTATATATCAGGATGAAGCATGTGGAGTCTTGCATATTAAGAGAAACTTTTACAATTCTCATTTATTCAAATTAGATGCCTCTCTCCAGATCAACTAACCAATCAGTATTCTGCATTCAACCATATTCTGATGTCATATTCCTTATTAGGTCTGCATTGCAGTGTCTTCATAAAAACTGTGATATTGCTAGAGCTAATAATTATTTCTTTGGTGGATTGGATTTGACATGGGCAGGTTATTATGAAGCCATGATCACTTCTGAGCAGTCCTGTATTAATGAGTGGTATATCATGAAAGATTTGGAAGTGCATCGGCCTGATTCACCATCATATGAAGAAAAGTAAGCAACATTGTTATGAGTGAGATTTTAATAACAAAGATCAATAAAATGTCATAAATGTGGGTGGGTTCGAAGTTGGTGGGTTCGAAGTGGATGGGTTCGAAGTGGATGGATTTGAAGTGAAGTTTTCATGAGAAATGTTCTATCACCTATGTTTTAACATGGACGTTCCATCAATTGTGAAAATTTTTTCTAATCAAGTGGGTCTTGTTTTACTTTTTCTATAGTGTCCTATGTATTAACTACATAATCCATTTATTTAAAAAAATTTGTTTGTTATATCCCCCTTTGTATAGGATAATAAATCCATTCACATAGTATCAGCAATTTTAAAGACCTTTATGAAACTGTATTGATCAACATTAATAGAACCATTCTATAATTTAATTTCTTATATCAACCATTTCTTATTAGCAGCTGTCTGCACAGCTGAAATCAACTTCCTCTCTGAAAATATTAGGCAAACACCAGTGAATGATTGGCAGGTTATTATAGCTATTAAATGTCGTTAATGAATTTATGTTTGTCGTATTTAGAAGAACGGAAAAAGAAGCAACAGAGAAGCTTATTAAGAAAAAGTTGCGTAATATAATGATGGAGGTCGATATTGATAATATTACCAGTAAACAGGTATTTAATTTTACTATAGCATATACTGACTAAAGAAGTCATTTCTCCACTTATTATTGTGTGGTCGACATAGCGTGTTTCAATATGTATAAACAATAAATTACATTTTGCACAAGAATGAGGTTATATTTTGTTTAATATTTAGTCTTGTAAGAATTTGACAAAAAAGATTCAAATCAGAAATTTAAAACAAAATCATTTTGGGAAGCTTTGTAAAATAGAGTGTGTTGAATCTCATAATACTACCTTACTTCGGGCAACGAGTACAGGTTCAGTCAGTCAACTGGCACCATTTATGTTTGACTGAAAAGTGACTTCCCACTTTTTACGATTACTAAATATCAATATCTATTTCAGTTTGTTATTGCAGCATGAAACAAATTTCAACTGAATTTTCAAAAGATACTGATTTTAATTTAGTATCAGTTTTTGTTATTCATAGCCAAGGGCTCATTGAGATTGGGATATCAGTTATGTTAGAACAGATGTGATAGGCTAAATAGTATTTATTCAGCATATTTGTATCATCATTATTGTAGGTGCGTTCACTATTACAAGAAGACCTTAACATGGATTTAAAAGAATACAGGTTTTTTATTGATGAAGAAATGATTATTATATTAAGACAGATGGATGCAGCCTCCTGTATATTTGACCATGTGTATTTGGTATGTAGGCATTTATTGTGTACTGGTAATAATGTCTATTCTGAAAAAAAATTTAAAATTTGAGAAAGCTGCAGGAAGTGATAAATAAAATATATAGTAAATGGTAGTAGATAATCAAGGTTCTTGGTAATTATTCGATCTAACCAATGGTTTTAGAGATACTAAAAAATTGAACTTGTGTAACACAAACATGTGAAATGGCAAAATAGTAGAACATTACAAGCATGTCACATGCTTATCATCGTGAGTAACGTAAATGTCCTGGATTCTAACATTGATTTTATGAGTATGATTCATCCTCGGAAGGATATTGAGGTTCATCTCATCACCATAATTCTTATCATTCATATTCAAGACTTGTGATATTTTGTTTGTTGTTTATTCAGGGATCAGAATGGAATGCTTCTAATTTAGAAGAGTTAACAGAAAATGGGTAAGTCAAGAATTGAGATAAATCTCACATATCTTTTGAAAAAGACCTTTGATTGTAATGTCATGTAATACATGTCATGCACTCTTAATCAAGCTTCTCTGTATAAAACTAATTATAAGTGTACCGTATTTGCTCCATTTGTTCAAAAACAAACAATGAAATCAAAGAAAAATAAATAAAAATGTGCAAAAAATAATACCGTAGTATTGAAACACAACCTGACAGTGGTTATTTACATGTCATCTTATTAATATTATTCATTCTGAATGAACATTATTGTCTGTGTATTCATAGGTGAAATGCAAAATTTACCAGTGTATCTGTCTCATTTTAAATTAAATTTAATGTGAATACAACATGCTGAACCATAAGATTTGTTACAACTTGACGTTTAATTATGTACGTCTTTTAATAAAATATAGGGAGCATTCAACCTTGAGATAGCAACTGGTGACTATTCAAAATACAGTAGATTAATAAAGTTTATTGATTAAATAAAAAATATTCAACAGCTGTATTTAAAGAAATCAGAGAATGTCTTATTATATTGTTATGTGATATGTCTATAGCATTGGTTTTATATTGAATTTGACGAAAGAAATTGACAACTTTTATCCCGGTCATTTTGAGTACAAGAATATTAGAGTGTATGATGTTGAAGAGACTCAGTTGATTCGTTACTGGGACGAGACCTATAAATTTATGTCCAAAGCAAAGTAAGTAAATCCATCAATACATATGTGCTGCTTGAAAAAACATGTTGTACAGTGTCAATGAATATCTGTGTCAGAAAATACCTATATTTACAAATTTTCTTATCGGAAGTAATTAGTAAATGATCATCTGAAATTTATGAGATAATTTCTTAACAATAATTTGTCTTTATTGTGGCACTTATTCTCTGTGCATTAAAAAGTGAGTGAAATAGGAATGAGTTACTGAACTTGTTTCCATGGAAATTGTATTTGTATACATGTACATGTCTATATGTTAACAGCGTTAATACTGATGCTACTGACTGGCAAACAAGTGATTGTTTTACTTCAGTGTGGATGTCTTGGATTCAAGTACAAATGAGAAGTCAGAGAATGTTCTGGCACTACTTCTGGCACTTTTCTGGCACTGCTTCTGCTTCTGGCACTACTTTTTTCCAGTGTCAATATACAAACATTTGCACTGGTGTTATATGTCACCTGTTGTATTGATATGTAAAAAATACAACTGTTGGTTTACTCAAAATGGCGAAATAAAACTGTAAGTTCACTGTGAAAACTCTCTGGTATCTTTGATGTGTGTGTACATAAATATCTCTTGTGTTTCTCGTTTCAGAGAACTTGGCTCGAAGGTGTTGGTTCACTGTAAAATGGGTGTGAGTAGATCGGCAGCAACAGTGAGTATATTTAATGTGGTTTAACCTCAGCAGAGGGATAGTGCAATGATAGGTGTATGGGAAATAAATCAGTCTCTCAATCAGTGACTTTTTACAATGCCCTTATCATAGGTTAGACACACATATCTAATAGAAGCACCCACAATTTGTATTTAGGGTTCATACCACTATTTGAATCTCCATAGACGACAATGTTAACATATGACGAGATTGCTATATGAAAATGATGAACAAAGTTGAAAACATGGCTCAAAAATAGCAAATCAACATGCCAGTAATCATCCACATGAAAAAAACTAACATGTTGGCCAGCTCAAACTCTTACAAATCTCAGGTAAACAAGACACACCTACTGTATTGGATTGCACCTAGAGAAACCACTGGAAAAACATAAAGATTGGAACATCCAAATACACACAGAATAAACCCACAGGTACACAGTCGCTAAGTAGTTAACAAAAGACCACATGTTGGTCTCACCTTTGACCCAGGTGATCACGTCCTCAAACAGGGAGCACCTGAGAAAAAAAATATTTAAAAAATGTCATTGGTTCTTGCAAGGCTTTCAAATTGCAAGCCATTGGTTGATTAGTGGCATGAGACCTTAATTGTATGCTGGATAATTAAATATGACTAATTTTTTTCCTGGAAAGTGTTTTATACAGCTATCATATATATGTGTGGAAAATGGTGAAATATTATTATTATAACTGTAATTTATTATCATCAGGTGATGTCATATGCAATGAAGGAATATGGTTGGTCATTGGATGACACATTTAAATATGTTAAAGATCGACGTAGTGTTGTTAATCCTAATGCTTCGTTCATGAGACAGTTAGTGGAATATCAAGGTATTCTGGATGCCAGGTGACTACATTGATCATATTTACTAGCATGTATTCAGTACAAGATGAATTAAATGATATGATAACTTGAAAAATTAATTTATGGTCTTTTACGTATTTTCCAATAGCAAATTAAAATAGATTCTTTTACGGATGTAAATTCTATTGTTTTCAACATCAAATTTGCAGATTATTATGTAAATATCACAAATTACGATACATCTTAAGAAAAATGTGCTTTTCTATAAAAAGCAGTATTTACATTAGTTCTAATTTCACTCATTTGAAGTAAAATAAAGTTGTATTAAACAAGAAAAAAATCAGAAATGAATAACAAAACCTGGCACATGTTATTAGTCCCCGTTCGGACGAGGTCCGAAAATGGGGACTTATAATTCGGTCTCCGTCCATGCGTCCGTCCGGAGTCATATCTCAGAATCCCTTGGACCGATTCCGTTCATTCTTTGCATGTGCCTAGTACTTTACGTGGGACATATGCACATGCAGTGGTTTAGTGATTCAATTCAAAATGGCTGACTGGTAGCCATCTTGTTTTTTGAAAATGTTGTATTTTGGACATGCTTTGTCAGTTTTCATTCAAACTTGGTACATAGATTACACATGTTAGGATACATGTCCATGACAATTTATTAGTCCCCGTTCGGACGAAGTCCGAAAACGGGGACTTATAATTCGGTCTCCGTCCGTCCGTGTGTCCGTGCGTCTGTGCGTCCGTGCGTCCGTCCGGAGTCATATCTCAGAATCCCTTGGACCGATTCCGTTCATTTTTTGCATGTGCCTAGTACTTTATGTGGGACATATGCACATGCAGTGGTTTAGCGATTTGATTCAAAATGGCCGACTGGCAGCCATCTTGTTTTTTGAAAATGTTGTATTTTGGACATGCTTTGTCAGTTTTCATTCAAACTTGGTACATAGATTATACATGTTAGGATACATGTCCATGATGATTTATTTCACAATTGGATCAAAGATGGCCGACTGGCAGCCATCTTGTTTTTTGAAAATGTAATATTTTGGACATGCTTTGTCAGTTTTCATTCAAATTTAGTACATAGATCATACATGTTAGGATACATGTCCCCGACCGTCCGTGAGTTCCTGAGTCTGTCCGTCCGTCCGTGTGTCCGTCTGTCCGTGTGTCAGTCTGTCCGTCATATTTTAGAATCCTGTGGACCGATTCCGTTCATTCTTTGCATGTGCCTAGTACCTTATGTGGGACATATGCACATG